AAACAAGTGTCCTTCATGGTGTAACCTACTTTTGAAAGAAAACTTCATTTCTTTAAGTTCAAATTCTAGTGAGGCTTAGAACTGATTAGAGATAATTTGCTTAACTGCCCAATTTTAGATTGCTCACTATTATCCTCAAGTTATCCATGGGGTCATTTATGACAAATACTTTGTGAAGACCTATTGTGTCTCAGGCATTAGACATACAAAAATATAGGCAGCTTCTCCCCTCAAGGAGGCCACAGTGGATGTGTACATAGCAAGGCTAGGAGGAAGTTGTATGAGGAGCCTGAAGACAATGGGGAGCAAGGGAAATGTTCTGAGCAGAAAGGAACATGTGGACAAAGATTTGAGATGATGAAGATGACTTAGGAGGCTCATGTTATGAAACCTAATTCAGGCTTTGTCTACTATGTTCAAATCCTATCTCTCCTACTTACTAGATAGGTGACATTGGGCAAGTTACCTATCTCCTCTGTGCTTCTGTTTCTTCGTTTCAAAAACAGGGACCTCTCTCACAGTGTTATTACGAAGGGTGGACAAGAAAACAGAGTTTGGTTTTGAATGCGTTAGGGGTGATTTTGCCTTTAGATGTGTAGTGGAGACGTGGAACACACAGTTTGCTGCACATTCTGGAGATCATATAACAGGTTAGGATTAGAGATAAATATTCTGGAGGTGCCAGTGTAGAAATGGTATTTAAGACCTAAGACTGGATCAGAGCAGTTCTTGGGAGTCCTGAGCCACTCCTACATTTGGCTGTCAAGAAATGTGAAAGAATCAACATCAGAGATGGAGAAGGAGCTTAAACCAAGAGAGTGTGGGTCCGAGAAGCCAACAAAACTGTTTCCAAGGAGGGCAAGGTCAACAGTGTCAACTCACCAACAGATGATACATCAGGCAGGATGGAGATTAAGAACTGGCCATCAGATTTGGCAATGTGGAGGGATTACTCTGATGTTAAGAGACTGGACTGTAGAGGTGAGAAAGAAAGCCTTCTGGCAATGGATTCAAAGAGAAGGTGAGGAGATGAATTGGAGGCAAGAGTTATAGACAATTCTTTCAAGGACTTATAGCAAAAGGAGAATGAAAAATAGGAGAGAAAGAGCTTTTGCAACATTCATGGATATTGCTTTAAATGATACAGTAGAAAGGAGAAAAATTAATCATGCAAGGGTGGGGGATCCTTAAAAATGAACCTTTAACAAGGTATACCTGCTGTGATTCTATTGGAACAAAACAATTAACATTTGTCTGGGGAAGGAGATTTATTTATGTTGTCTTTCCCTCTTCATATACATGCATATCAAAAAGCTATTACATCTCCATACCTTTTAAATAAAAATATTTGTAATGGAACTACAGTAGAATTATTGAAAAGTAAATGGCTGGGTGCGGCAGCTCATGACTGTAATCCCAGCACTTTGGCTAGATCACAAGGTCAGGAGTTCCAGACCAGCCTGGCCAACATGGCAAAATCCCATCTCTATTACAAATACAAAAATTAGCCGGGCATGGCGGCATGTGCCTGTAGTCCCAGTTACTTGGGAGGCTGAGGCAGGAGAATCGCTTGAAACTGGGAGGCAGAGGTTGCGGTGAGTTGAGATTGCACCACTGCACTCCAGTCTGGGCGACAGAGGGAGACTCTGTCTCGAAAAACAAACAAACAAAAAAGTAAATGTTTAAAATTACGTCTTTGCCATTCCTGCGTCCTTCTCTTTTGCAATTGCTTCCTTTAAAAATTGTGAACGTTCTTCTTGCCCTAAGTTTTAGTTTTTTAAAAAATTCATGGTTTAAGATTAGTTACAGTGTATTCCTTCTCCAGTAGTATTTTTATTTACTGAAATATTTTAAAATAAAATGATATGAAAAATTTCTTTCAAAATATTTAGTTGGGAGAAGGGGATGAATTGGGTAGTGGTGGGAACAGAGATGAAAGAAGTTGGTTTTGAGTTGATAGTTAATGAAGCTGGGTGATGAATATATAGTGGTTCCTTATACCATTCTCTCTAATTCTGTATGCTTTTGAAAATTTATATTATACCATGTTAAAAGCTTAAAAAATCATAGTTAATACCATGTTTAACCAAAAAGAATCCATTAAATAGTGAGATTTCAGATAATTTGGTAACAAGAGAAGTTATTTTGGGGCACAGGAATTTTTCTGGCATTTTCCAAACCAAATGAGCTACTTTGGTGTCAGTTTAGAGGGCAAATATGTGTTATTTTTAATTGATCAGAAAGTGTTTCCATTGCTTCAAGACAGAATCAGTTTGGATGCTTATTATGCAAATAATTTAGAAGGCTGAATTTTTGTTAATGATACCTTGGTTCTTTTAAATATTAGATCACTTTAGGTAAGCATAAATAATTCTGGAAACACATGCTATGCAATGTTTTGAGAGGAAGTAATGCTACAGTCACAAAGTAATGTTAATCTAGTTGGTTGTTGTTGAAAGGAATAAATAATTGACAATTGAATAAACAGAAGGTGAAGTTTCATTGCAATAATAGTTACCACTTTTTTAAAGGAAATTGCAGTTTCTGAAATTTGTTACACTTATATTGCTATATAAAAATTTGGGTAACAAAAGTTCTTAATCTTTTAAAATAAGTAAATGTGGAAACAATATTGCTACATTAACTCTTCAAATATTAATCACTAGATACTCTTTATGTCTTCCAGTTATTTATTAACCACTTTACAGTGCTATTGTTTCTCCAGCTGTGGATAATTTCCACCTGAGATAGTTAAAAAAAAAACTGCAATAATTTTTTGTACATCAGAAATCTTTGGATTTGATTAATAACATCCCCCACTGCTCACTATATATTTGTTATTAAAAGTCCACTATGTATTTAAGACCTATACATTCTGCTTCAAAAATTAAACCCAAAGTTATGTTGGTCTTATGCAGCTTCTGGTCTCTTTTGTATGGCTCTATTGCCCTCAACATTTTCCTGGTGTAAACTACTGAGCAAGGGAACAAGATTTCCTTTGTAACTGATACCTAAATTTCTATTCTGCTTTAAGCATCTAATTTGCACTGTAAAGACATATAATTTGAGACTTGTAGCTATATCACAAAAGTACAGCAGTTTATGCTGATCTCTAATTTTCTAAGTTATACTGGCTATAATTTACATTTCTTAAATGTTTTTAACTGCCATGCAAATGAGTATACATCAGAAACCTTTGTATATTGACAGAGACTGGGAAAAGGATGCCTTGTTCTGATTTCAGATAAGCATTCCCTTTTCAGGTCTGCAGGTGCAGGGAGGCCCATTCATAATATTTCCTTCAAATCAGTTTTAGTCGCTGGGTGGAAATACAATGCTTTTTCACCAAAGCCTGACTAATGTTTATAAGCACAGTTAATGTTTTTAAAAAATTTACTATAAATGGCACATTTTAGAGGCAAGTAGGACTTTTTCCTTTGCCTATATGTTGGGAACAAAATATACTGCGTTAACACAAATTTTGGTCATTTTACTAGTGTGTGTGTGTCTGTGTGTGTGTGTTTACTAGAAATCTAGAAAAACACTTTATTACTTATTGAAACAGGATTTGGAATTGTGCTCAGCAGAAAATTTGCCTCAACAAATACAGGTTTCTTTTATTTAAGAGATAACTCATAATAAATGTTACTTTTTCCTTTGCCTTTTCACTTATTTTGAAATCAACAAACAAGTAAAAAAATAACCACAAGATAAAGAGAGTTACTCTAATTTCTCCATTTCAGATAACTGGGTAAATCTCCGGGAAACAAATGTTAGAAAACTATATATGCAACAATTAATTAAAGATAGCCGGATGTTTCCATATGTTTATACATATAAGCTGTTTATAAGGTTGTGATCTGTTTTGATTAGCTTCAGGCAAAAACCTGGCACATCAAAGTAAAGGAGTAAATTTTAACCTACAAAACAATTACAACTATTATTTAAACTCTCCTTGAGCCCCAGAGATCAGAGAAAGGCTCTAATATAATTTAAGGGCTTGGTGAACAAACAGAGAAAAAATGAAATTAAAAAAAAATATGACAATAGTCACTGCATTAGCAAAAATAAATGTTGGGCCTATATTGAAAACCATTAAGAACTTATCCTAAACTGATGTTAGTCCTATTATTTAGTTGTATAGTTTTCCAACAATCCAATTTGATTGTTTCATAAGTCAGAAGTCCTAAAACACCTTCTCGTATGGTATTTGACTTGAACTTTCCTTTGTGATTTGAACTCAGAAGGCAGGTATTACTATCCTCATTTTACAGATGAGGACAATGAATTTTACAAAGCGTTAACCTCTCCACATCAAGGTAACTCGGACATAAATGGCTTGCCTGGACAGAAAGTTGTCAATCCTGGTCCAGCATTCTTTTTGCTTCTCTGTCTCAGAGATTGATCTCAGCGAGGGATCAATTAGACAGATTTTTTTTAAAAAAAGCTGAAAAGATGGTGACTTAAAGCATGAATATCCCTCCAGTGTGTGTAATTAATTTAGACTGAGCACTAAAGACAATAGAAACTTGGATGCTGTCGTTTTCTGGACTCAAAAAATTGAAGACTACTCCCATTATAACCAACTTACCTACAGCCTCGAGTTAAAGGCACGTTAGTTGTTAATGGACCCAAATGTTAGAAAGATGGAAAGAACATTCTGTACAGACGATGCTCTTAAGAATGGACCAGGACCCTAAATGACTTCTGTAAACAGGACACCCTCTCTTCCAAAATTCCTTTCTATTACGGCTTCCCCAATACCTAGGAATAACACACAGTGTCTCCTGTGATCATTAGTTATTGCTTTCACTCCAGGGCAGAAAGACACCTGTCCTAGAGACCATGTGTGCTGGAGGACCTGCCACACACCCGCCCTCCTGAAGTTCTCTGATGCCTGCAACTTACCTGGGCGGGATGCTCTGGCCGGGCAGCTCTTCGTGCCAGCCCAAGACCTTGGGGAAGAGAAGAAAACAAAACAACAAAACCAAACAACTTACCACCTTGGCCCAGTCCAAGAACAAGTGAAAACACCCAGGCCGCCCAGAGGAACGAGGCGGGACCTCGCCGGTCGTTTTGCAGGCAGGCAAGAGCAGCGGTAAAAAAAGCCAGGGCCGAGCGGCACATAATGTAAAACAGCCCGCCTCGCGCCCGCCGCCTGGCTGCTTTCCGGTCGCGTGCTCGCGCCTCACGAGCGCACCTCGGGGGCCGAGAGTCTCTGGGACGTTTCCCGCAGGCCCAGCAGGCGGACCCCGCGGCTCGGAGCAAGCGAAGCAGGTAAGCGGGCCCGGGCACCGCTCGTCATCTCAGGGCCCTCGCGGCCCTCCTGGCTCGGCACAGCGGGTCCCAGGCTCTCCGCGAGAAGCACCTCCTTCGACTGCCAAGGGCCCCGGCGGCTACTGGAGAGAGGTCTCCGCAAGGGCTCCGCAGCCTGCTCTGGGACAAAGAAAAGAGCTTTTGTTTCTCTTCAGCCGGTGGGGCTTCTGCTGCATAAATCAGCTTAGCGAAGAGCCAAACACAATCAAACACAAACAAAGCCCGAAGCTGGTGGTGGTGGGGGGGAACCACCCTAATGTACATTCACTGGGTGATGCTGAATCTGTGGGAGGGGACGCTGGCGAGGTCGAGGGGAAAAAGTCGATGGCGCATCAGTCAGGGCGGTTTCTTCCACAGGTGGGCAGGGAGGCCACCTCCACAAGTGGCAGCTTGCAGCCTCGTCTGCAGAGCAGCGGGCAACGACAAGTCGGCAGCGTCCCGGCTGGCGAGGGAGGAAGCTCGGGATGCCAGCAACAGGGGGAGGCGTCTGTGGGAGCACCCTAGAAGCACCCGCAGACACCCGCAGGCACAGAGCGAGACATCGCCTCTCCCTGCCTGGCGGGGAGTGAGGCCGGCGGCCGCGAGCGCAGAAGGGGAGGTTCCCACGGGGTGCGGGAACCGGCTTCGCGGGGCGGGGGCTGCGTGCCCTTGTCCTTTTGGCCTCAGTGCGCGGCTCGGGCGTCCCACAGTCCAGAGCCCGGATTGCTGGCGCGCTCGGAGGTGCACACGGCTAGGATGCGAGAGAGTCTGGCGAGGGACGGGAGAGGGGTGGTCCTGCTCTGCAGACCCCAGTGGTGGGGGGCTCCGCACCTGCCGGTAGCAGGCTGCGCTCAGGGCACAGAGTTGCTAGGAAACCTCCCCACGCTACCGGAGCGCCTAGCTGTTACTGCTGTCCGCAGGCGCGGCGGCAGCCCTGGCGGAGCAGCAGTCACAGCTCTGAGCAGCGTGGGCGGGACATTGGTGAGGCATGAAGTCACCGCGGCCCACACTCGCTCTTTGTTTTGCTCACTCGAGCTCTTTCTTTTCCCCCTTGGCTCTGATAGTGGCCATTCCCAACGTTCACAAGAACTCCTGAAGCGTAGCGGGGCAACAGGAATGGCACGCCTCGTTCCCTTCTCCCTCCTCCCCCGAATCCCTCCACCCTAACGCTCGCGGGGGTGGTGGGAGACTCGCTCAGCCGCAGCTGTGAGCAAACCCCAATCTCTCACCCCCGCGCTGCGCGCCGCTTTGTTCGGAGATACTCACTGCCCCGCAGCTGCTGCATACAAAGTGGAGTCCAGAAGCCTCCCCTGCCCCCAACGCCCTCTACTCAGCACTTTGTTTGCAGTTAGGAGCTCGTCCTCTGCACCGCCACGAGGCTCCCCGGGTCTCCCTAGCCCTTGGAGAGTTGGACCCGTCTGCAGGGGCTGTTCCTGGAGCGACTCGCCAACATTCCTCGCCGCTCCTTCTCTACTCACAGCCTTAACCCTGGGCTGGACAGCCCTGTTTTTGCCCAGGGTCTGGTGGTGGTTCTGGGCTTTTGCAAGTTACAGTGGGTCTTTTGATCTGAAGTGTCACCTTCCCAGTAAATGGAACAAAATAGAGACAGCAGCAAAGCAGGGAGAGAGGCGCTAAGGAGAGAAGGTGGGAGGCATTTCTGCCTGCTTGCAGCTCAGAAATTTAGGTGCAAGTGGGGAGGGAGCGAGTGTTATGCTGGGCAACTGTCTGCGAAGCAGCGTGCCTCCTCAGGTCCTGTCACTACCACGCTAAGTCGAGGGTGGGAACTGAGTACCCCGCTTTGGAAACAAGGAAACGCGGTGATGGTTCTCTTTTCCCACTAGGGGCAGGAGTGGTTCCCAGTCCAGAAGTTTGACCTCTTGTTTTAGTACAACCTCCGCCTCTTACAGGCATCAGACCAGTGCAGCCAGGTCAAGGTGAAATATGCGGGAGTTTCCCCCATTCTTATTTGTTTAATAGTTTCCGTCTTCTTATTTGTAGTTAAAAAAAAAAAAAAGTAGGAGGCACCCTCTCTCTCTTTTTCTTTCTGTTGACTGAGTGAATGGAAAGTACCTGGTTAATAAACCACAACATCGAAACTCCCCCTTTCAGGTGTGGACTGCACAATGGAGTGCACAGAATTAGTTCAGCAAACCAGGAACCCAGCTGGAAAATTAAAAGCGCCGTGGATCTACAAAGCAGGTCCTTTTTAGAGACCAAAGCCATGATCTAATCCTTAGCAACATAATTCTACTATAGGTGATGTACTCTAAATAAATAGAAATAAATCCAGCTCAGCTTTAATTTTTATTTTCTTAGTTCCAAGTTTGAACAGTTATGGTTTTGTTTTGTGGTTATCTTAATGCAAAGGCCTAAAAATTAGTTAGGATGGGTGTGAGGACTTGAAAATTTCAACACATAAGTATCATATTCAATATCTGATTGGTGACTCTTCCACTGGGCAACCAGTGTATTTTTCAGAGGTTATGCCCCAAATCTACTGAATGCAGCCACCCTTGAGACAGTGCAGTGCTCCAATTAAAAAAAAAATTAAATCTCTCATTCCCATAAAGATGTTTCACTACACTTTACACTTTAAAGTATCTATCACATCACCATTCCACAGTATTCTAAAATACAACCCTTGTTGCTGGATTGTAAGTGGCAGTTACAGTAATAAATAAAATACAAATGTATGCAAACAAGAAGGGATGTAACTTTATGAAATCGATGAGGTCTGTACTAATTTTTGTAACTATATTTTTAGGTGTTGATGTATTGTATATACTAATCCAAAACAACCATGTGGCAAGAAGAATAAAATGAAGTTCAAAACTCTGTTTTGGGAAATTTTGAAGCCCTTTAGAATAAAATATTTTTGCATTTTGTTACATGACACCCACGCAAATATATGTCAGGATGCCAGTTTTGTGGAGTTGTTGAAGAATAAGCACAATACCGTTTAGTACCGCTTCTCAGTTGTAAAGAGGCTGTAACTCTGGTTGTCAAAATAAGATAAAATATCTTAGCTGTGAGACTGTGACCTCTGCCAATTATTTACAAACAAATTATCCTCACATTTTGGGCTATAAACATAAAAGTAAATTCTCCTGAAAGACTGCAAATCATCTGTAGGGTTTTCTTCAAGTAAATACAACTATTGGCCTAGGCCCAGGAACAAAAAGTTTGCTTGTTTCCAATAAATGTCACTGGTCACCATAACTCATCCTTTTTCCTATAAGGAAATGTACAGCATACTTTAAAGAAATGCAATATTGTTATCTTCATTGTAATACCTGAAGAATTCTAATAAAGGAAAAATGTTTCAGAAGATGGTGACTTGATTAATTTCTGTTTTTCTATCATGTTCTGCTATCTTACTTTGAAATTTCTGACAGTTATTTTTTCACCATTTGTGGTAATGAGAGGAAATGAAATTTACAGAGAGTCTAAAAATAGCATTTTGGTTGTTCATTCCAGGCTTCCTATCATTAGAGTCTTTGAGTTGAGTTACTAAAAAGTCATAAAATAAGATGACTTAAATTTCTTCCCTAATCCTTTAACCTTGATTCCTTACTAATTCAGTTTGTGGTGAGAATGAACAAGCTGTAGAGAGGTAGCAGGAGTGAGGGAGACATCCAGACTGTTTTTTAAGACATGGGGTCTTACTTTCTCACTATGTTGCCCAAACTGGCCTTGAACTCCTGGTTCAAGATTGAACTCAAGCTATCCTCCCACCTCAGCCTGCTGTGTAGCTGGTATTAGAGGTGGAACACCACATTCAGCTGTGACTATTCATACTTTAACTAAATTTGCCCAAATTATTGATCTTATAGTGGCACCTAAAGACACATTTGAATTTTAATGTTATGTCTTTTTGAAGTTGGGATCAGAGCCATTCAGTAGGTTTTGAGTGGATATTCACAAGTTATCTATGAGCTTGCCTGAGACATCTCAGAAGATGATGAATGGTCAAAGCAGTGAGATATAGTATTGTGACTGTGAATTCTAGCTTATTCTAATGATAAAGTACATAAGTTGCTTGAAGATGCTTTTCACTGACTTGTTACATAAGACAGTGTTTCTCATACTGTAGACTGACGACTGCATATAACACAATCCCCCATTGAGTAATTCTGAGTTTTAATTCCTTGTCTCTATTCCAGGAGATTCTGAATTAGTAGATCTCATATGGTGCTCAGCAACCTGCATTATAACAAGGTCCTCAAATGGTTTTCATATGCTTTGAAATTTAAGAGCCTCCTACTTTAATGGGTTAATACAGAGACTCCTCATAAGCTTCATGAGTCTTTAATGACAAAGTCCAGTGTCAGGTGTAAATTCCAAGAAAAATGAACTGCTGGAACCAATGTCTCTTGTCAAGATAGTTTGTGGATGACTCAATCTATGAGATATTAATGTTTTCTGAAACAAGACTTCCATGATTAAGCTTAAAATGCTGAATTAAGGTCAAATTAAATCCTTTACTAGAGGAATTCCCAGAAACCCAATAGACCAGCATGTGATTAGATTCTCCAAAGGAAGAACCCCTTATTCAACAAACATCTCACAGATTAATTTTCTTCAAAGTATGCTAGACAGCTAGCCCCATTTTACAAGTGTGGAAACTGAGACAAAGATTGGCAAAGAAACCAGCCTCGCATTTTCAAGGGAACTCATGAGCAGGCAGGAATCAGAGCTCCGAGTTTTCTCAATCATCTCATATTGTGATGACTTTTAGTTACAAGTAAGGAGTCACATTGTGGATGTTGGAAGTAAAAAGGGAAATTATTGGCTTGGTGCAGTGGCTCACAATTGTAATCCCAGCACTTTGGGAGGCTGAGGAAGGCATATCACCTAAAGTCAGGAGATCAAGACCAGCCTGGTCAACATGGTGAAACCCTGTCTCTATTAACAATATAAAAATTAGCCTGGCATGGTGGCACGTGCCTGTGGTCCCAGCTGTGTGGGAGACTGAGGCATGAGAATTGCTTAAACCCTGGAAGTGGAGGCTACGGTGAGCTGAAATTGTGCCACTGTACTCCAGCCTGGGTGATAAAGTGAGACTCTGTCTCAAAAAAAAAGGGGGGGTGGGTAAATTATTGGAAGAACATTGGGAGCTCATAGAATCAGCAGGAAGCTGGGAAACCAAGACTTACCAAGGCCAGAAAACATGGAGGCATAAGCAGTAGCAGAAAGTGTCTAACTCTTAAGAACAACTTTGTATCCTCCCTTTGCTTTGGATCACTTGCTCAAGATTCAAAATCCTTGTTGGGAATATCTAATTTTCAGAATCTTCATCACATGTTAGTACACTGGCTTTCTGGGTGTGGGAAAAGAAGAAGAGGGGCACTTGTCTTTTGCTTTCTTCATAGAAAATATGGCACTTTTGAATGAAACATTTTATTTGTGCATAGTCTAATCCTGTGCACAGACTCTGGGCATAGTTTTGTCCTTTTATAGCATGCAGTCAACTAATGCTTTTTTAGCCTTTAACTCATCATCAGAAAGATGATGTCTGCCCTGGCTCACCACTTCATCGCACACAGCTGGACGTCTGTGTGGTGGAAGTGCTAGGGAATGAACAAAATTTCTGGATGGTGTCTCAACTATGTACAGACCAGATGGGAAGTGAGGTATAAATACCCCAGCTCCGCTGTTTCTTGTATGAAGTCACTTTAGGCCTTGTGTGCTACACTGTTTTTGGACTAGTTTTTAATTTTCAATCTATCGTGGATTGAGAATTAAAAGTAAAATAAATTATTGAAAAAATTGGTATCACTAAAATGTCAAACTGCTATAAAAGTTTCTTAGTACTTTTAATTTTTATACATTCTTTGTCCTGGGCCAGCCTCAAACAGTAGAAGGACTGGTACTGTCACACACATTACCTTTTGAATAATATTTAGCACCATTTTCCAAAGTTCCCCTGTAGGAGTAAGTTGTACTTGACCACAGTGATAATTGCATTCAAATAGATCCATCATTGGTTGTCTTTCCTTCCTTCATTTCCCTGTGACCCCTGATATCTCCTAGTGTCAGGGTCTTCTTCTGCAGAAAACCAAATTAAGACAAGCAATAAATGTGACTGGAAACTAACCTCTGCTGTTCTGCATGTACGCATTTAAATTCTTTTCTTTTCTAGCTAAAATGCAACCACAGTGCAATTAACACATGGACTTTGGAGTCTTAAAAAGTAAGTTTGAATCTGCTACCTGGTGGCTATAGAATCATAGGTAACTTACTTAATTTTCTGCAGCCTCAACTCCTTTCTGTGATGACTATATTAAAACAACTATCAAAATTACAAATTAAAATGAAATATCACTACGCTCCTATTAGAACAGCCAATATCCAAAACACTGACAGTATCAAATGCTGACGAGGATATAGGGCAATAGGAACTATCATCACCACTGGTGGGAATGCCACTTTGGAAGACAGTTTGGCAGTTTCTCACAAAACTAAATAATCCAGCAATTGTGCTCCTTGGTATTTACCCAAAGGAGTTGAAAGCTATGTCTACCCCCAAACCTGCACATGAATATTGTACCAATTTTATTCATAATTTCCCAAACTTGGAAGTAACCGAGATGTCCTTCAGTAGGTGAGTAGCTAAATAAACTGTGGTGCATCCAGACAATGGAATATTACTTAGGACTAAAAATAAATGAATTGTCAAGCCTAGGGAAGACATGAAGGAAGCTTAAATGCATATTACTAGGTGAAGGATGCCAACCACAAAAGGCTAAATGTTGTATG